ATAATTCTCAGTGTGGTTTGAAAAAAAGCTAGCTGAGAATTTGTTTTAATGTGGCACACTCAATCTAAAACACATCACATCTTCCTGTAAGGGATTACCTTTACCGCCTGCCTCAGAGATTCCCAGACATAAAATTCCATTGAAGTGGAGTTCACCAATCCAAAAAAAAAAAATCTCAGTACACTTGAGGAAACAAGGTATCATTAGAGAGAACCAGCAAAACAATAGAAACCAGATATAAAGCAACAAATAATTTAGCTATTTGGTTTATTGCTTATGGAATAAATGTAAGTGTGTTTAACATACTTACTAAAAAAGTTATCAAATAAATGCGTTAACAATTATGAGGGGCTCAAAAACACCTGATTGTATTTGGTAACCAAATGGAACCACCAAGAATGAAAATTATAACTAATAAAGGTGAAAAATTATTGCATTTTAAAAGGTTATATAAATACCTACATATCTTTGATTTTACCTCTTGGCTCATCAAATCTAAAATAGTCACTGGCTGGCCCTTTACTGAGATACAATGCCAGTCTCTCCTGTGGAGGCACCAGCACAGGAGATCCTTGGTCAGCCTGAGGGGTCAGGATGAAGCTGAAGATGCAGGAGTGGACACACAGAAAGGCCTGACTGCTGCAGAGTGGGGGTGTAAAGCCTTTGAATGAGGTAAGCCTGTTCTCTAGAGGCAGGGTTAAGGCAGGCAAGTTTACCCTGCTCCATGTGGAAGACCAGTAGGACAGCCTTAGGCCTGGCAACAGAAGGGAAGCTGGTTGTATGTGTCCATAAACTTAACCAAATGACTGCAGAGAAATGTCAGTACTTGTCTTTTTTCACTTTTATGTATAGGGTGGAAAAATAAATTTTAGTTGCCCTGGAGTCTTGAGAGTTTAATGCATGAGTGTGGGGAGGTCTGGGCAGAAAGATATTGGTTCATAAATGTAATTGTTAAGCAGTTGTGCAAATAGAACAAATTAAGAAGGAAAGGAAGAATGGTAATTTTTTTTGTCTGAATCACACATTTCAGCAGCATATCCTCAGGTGCTCCCTTATTGCCACATGTGGATTAAGGCCAAGTGCTTTTTATGGCCATTGACTATACCAGGATATGCCACAAAACTGCTTCTGAACACCAAGTGCTGACTTGTTTGCCCTGGGAGGAGTGAGGGAGGGGTAAGGAAGCTGGCTTGAAGCTTTGCTATGACCCCAGGGTGGTAGAAGCTACAGGAAACTGGAAGGGGAAGTGATTTGGGGAAAAGAAAGCAAGAGGCTTAGCATGTCCCCAGGCTTCTCCTTTGAAGATGGATGCCACACCCAGTCTGTCCCAGGCCTCCCAGGGACTCATCTATTCCCTGTTCTTCAGGATGAATCAGCAAGGATGAGTTGTGGAACAAGGAACTTGGCTGCGAGAAACCATTTTCTGAGTCTTTCATTATATGTCAGGTGCTTCACACATCAATTTCATAGAGTAGATATTAGCCTCTTCATTTTGCAATTGAGGAAACTGAGGCCCAAATAGAAGCATTGAGAACTGCATCCTGTCCTCTCCCGCAATACCTCAAACCTTTCCTTTCATGTTCTGCCTCACACCTATCCCACAAAAAAGGACGGTGGGAAGAAGCAGGCCCTCTGCCATCAGTGAGGTAATTACCAGAGAACAGACAATGGACATTCACAAGTGCTGCTTCAGGAGTGTGCCCTTGGAGCAATAAGAGAAATCCAAAATGTGTGATAAAGAGTTGGGGACTCCAGATGTGCACATGGACACCTGGCTTAGCAGAGGTGTCTGGGCCAAAGGAATAAAGAATGTCCCACAGTGTCCATCTGTCTGTGTGCGGTTATCCAGAAGACGTAATGAGGGTGAAGAGTTATCAAACAAGTTGTGTTCATTGGTTACTTATGTACCTGTCACAACATTCAAAAATCTACAGTCAATGCGGATAAGAACTAACCACTGATTGTAAAATAAAGTTACAAAACTAAAAAAAAAAAAAAAAAAAAAAAACAAAAAAAAAAAAACAAAAAAAAAAGGACTTTGTGGCATGCAGGCCCACAAAGTAAGTTTGCAGTGAATTCTGGTCTCACTTCAATAGGCAATTCTTTCTCCCAAACCCAAGTCTTTCATCCCTACCACGCAGGTGTAGACAAGAGCTGTGTGGAGGGAGCAATTCTTCTCTGTCAAAGACAGGAGGAAAAACAGTTAAGGATCCGCTGCTTTGACTCTCCTCATGCCCTTCTCCATTGTCCAGACTTACTCTGCTAAGCAGAGAAATTTGTCCCCAAATGTCTCCAGTGACCTATCATGGCCCTTTCTGACTGACATGTTAGTTCTATCTTCAGTGTAATCAAAGTATGACGTGACAACAAATATAATACTTCTGTTATCAAGAAGTTGCTAGGGAAGTAGTCACATGTTGGAGACATGCAGAACTGTCTGCTGGGATTTTTTTGCCACAACAGCTGTACTAAGTAGCTAGGCTTGGAGAAAGCCCAGAGAACCAAACCCTAATGAGGGGCTGATGACCAGCACGGAAGAGGAGGAAGATTCCAGTGGGGTACAGAGAATGGATCAATGTTACAGCTCCTGAGGAAAGAGGGCAGGTCTGAGGGAGATTGTGGATGATGGAAACTTAGAGTAGAAAAACTTAAAATGGAAGGTCTCACAAGGACAAACACCAGGGCTGGGGGTAGGATGGTTATAGAAGTTTCCAGGAATCTGAGGTGGGATCAGAAGAGACTATCAGCCAGGCACAGAAGACCTCTCCTGTCTCACCTGCTGCTCCCCTCAGCAGTGTATTTCAGTCCGTCTGCCTGTTCTGCTCCCCACTCTGTCTCTGGTGAATTCTCTCACACCCCCACACCTCTGGCCTGAACCCCAGTTCTTGTATGCATAAATAAATAAATCTTTAAAAAATAAAAGATTATCAGCCAGAGAGTATTATTGACCATAAGAGACCAATCCAATCTGACCCCTTGGTGATAATTTCTACAGTAAGTCCATCAAAGAACATTATATAAGAATACCTCTTGCCTTGGCTAAACATGCTTCTTGTTCTTTGAGAGTACCTGCCAGTATCTATGCAGATGTCCCTTCTAAAACTGCAGGTCTTGCCTTTGAAGACAGCCTGGTGTGTTCATGCAGCCATCTCTCTCTTTGTTCTCCTTTCCTGGATAAACTTGTCATGTGCTGATGAATGGGAACATTAGCTGAATTCCTTCTCAGAGGAACCCAAGAACTCCCCACACTGAACTTCATCCTCTGAACACCAGCCCAGACACAGACCTCACTTAGGAGAATTGAGAATCCTATCCTGAAGCTGGAGGAACCACAACTCTGTTGAGAATTCTAGGGAAGGGTTGAGAGAAATGAGAAGAGCATTGTGCCAACTTGACTTGGCCAGGAGGTGCCAGATATTTGACTAAACATTGTTCCGGGTGGGTCCATGAGGGTGTTTCTGGAAGACCTTAACATTTGAATTGGTAGACTGAGTAAAGCAGATAGCTTGTCCTAACAAGGGTGGGCCTCATCCAGTCTGTGAGAGACCTGAAAAGAACAAAATGGTGGAGCCTGGATGAGTTCATGTGCTCTGTCTGAATGTCTTTGAGCTGGGACATTGGTTTTCTCTTGTTTTCGGAGAGGGATTTGAACTAGAGCTTTTGGGCTGAGTTTCTTTTGGGTTGACTACAGCTCACAGGACTCCTCAGCTTCCATGGTTATCATTCCTTATAATAAGTCTCCTTCCCTTTCCCATCCCTCCCTCTTTGTCTATGCATGTCTGTGTATATACACGTGTGTACACGTGTTTATATATACATGTATACCCAGAAGTGGAACTTCTGGGTCGTATGGTAGTTCTAATTTTAATCTATTGGGGAACTTCCATACTGTCTAGCACAGTGGCTGCACTGAAAAGACATTCCCACCCTCAGTGGAAATATGGTGAGGGTGTAGAGAAAAGGGAACAACCCCTTGCACTGTTGGGAATGTCACTCAATACAGCCGCTGTGGTAGACAGTATGGAGTTTCCTCAATAAATTAAAAATGGAACTACCATATGACCCAGAAGTTCCACTTCTGGATATAAAGCTGAAGGAAAAGTCTCTAGTGACCTACTGCAGCTCTTTCTATCTGACACGTTAGCTCTATAATCAGTGTGGTAAATGAATGACATGACAAGAAAAATCACTGTTCTGAAGACATACCTGCACATTCATGCTATTTGCAAAAGGTAAGACATGGAAACAACCTTAGTGTTCACCGATGGATGAAATCTTGATATTCTTAACAAGTTTTGAACTTGTTACTCTGATCCCCACAAAGTGTGTAACCAGGCTTGACTGGACATGTATGGTATGCCCCTTGGATAAATGCTGGTGACTGGGGTAGGAAATGGCACTATATAACTCTAGTGTCTTCCCAACTCCCCCAAGCTTCCCTTACCCCTGTCTAACTTTAGGAGCCAGGGTTTCAGATTTTGACTTTAAACAGCTACACAAAGTAAAGAGGAAAAGAGTTAATTGTAAGAAGCTAAAGAAGTTCCCCTGGTGAAAACACTTTGTCTCACTCTGGGCCTTGAGGCTAAGTTTCATTACCCTTTGTAACATAAGCCCTTCTCTTCAGCACTGACGAAGAAGTTAAATAAAGTGAGTTGGCTGACAAAGCCTTCCTCCCGAGAGAGAACAGGCAGCTACACCAGGTGATCCACCAATGGCAGACTGAGGAGTCCAGCTCATGTGCAGGAGGGGTCATCACAGTTGTGCGGGAGAGCAGGTTCTGAGGTTGTCCCGTGTCTCTAGGGAACAAGTTGTGATGTCCATACCAGATATGGAGAAGTTTGTGGGCTGTAAGATTTTTAAGGGACAATTTCAAGCATACTGTATTCTAAGTGTACTTCAACTTTATACAACCCCATTCCTTTTTCTCCAATACTTTGCAAATGACAAAATACCCAAATGCAGTTCAGATTTTTAAAGAAGTTTAGTAAACTGAAGTCTCCTTGCTGTCTTTATGTAGATGCAAATACTGATCCGGTAATTCCTTCTGACCTGCAGAATAGACAGTGTTAGTCAACAGAGCTTTCCCCTTCCCACTGACAACACACACATGCACACACATGTGCACTAGCGTGCCCAGTATTCATTTCTCCAGTTTTCTTTGAACTCCAGTTTTCTTTGGAAATTCTTTTTTTTTTTTTTAAACATTTATTTATTTATTTATACAAGCACTGGGTATAGTCAGAAGCGCGGGAGGGTGAAAGAATTCACCAGAGCCAGAGTGGGGAACAGAACAGGCAGACCCACGAAATACACTGCTAAGGGGAGCAGCGGGCAGCAGGAGAGGTCTGCACACCATGTGGGACCCTCGCCGGTGGCCGGGGATCGAACTGGCACTGCAGAGGCTGCAGCTTCACAGCCCAGTGCTCAACCGCAGCACCACCAGGGTAGGCCCTTCTTTGGAAATTCTTTATTGCCCATTCCATGTGGTCTGCTTGGGCTCCTCAAGGTCTGTGGAGCAACATCATCTGACAGTAGTACCCTGGAGGGGCTGCCCATCATTCTGGATACCAGGATTCCTAGAACTGCTTCCTTCTCATCTTCCCCAACTTCCTGAGCATTCAACACTTTTTCATTCTGTGAGCAACCCAGGATCTAACATTCAGTTTCTTTTTTGCTTACGTTTTCAGGGTCAACTTTTGTTGTTTGTGCTCAATGAACCCCATCAATATGGGTCCTTCTCTTCCCTAATTTCATTAAAATCTGTAGCATTGTAATTACTTTCTTCAACAGTCTATTGGAATTCTCTTAGGAGAGAGAATAGATTATGTAGCATATTTAAAAGCTACTGTAGTTATTAAGGACCTGATTCTCCTTGTTCTAGGCAGCCGGTTGTCTAAGTAGCAAAACTGAACTTGTGTGATTTCTTAGATGGCTGGTACGATTAAGCTGACCAATAGAATAGATGAAACAGTTTGAAGCCTGAGTAACCTTTGGGGGTTTATAAAATTAAAAGAGAACATTGGGGTCCTCTGGTCATCACCAGTCATCACAAGGGGTATAAAGGAATCCCTATTAGTTCAAACCAGGGGTACAGGCACCTCTAATCTTCCCTGTATGCAGTTACTTTTGAATGTCCTAGTTTTTAATGGTTGGCTCCTAAGTGGAAAAAAATGTGATAAGTGATTTTAAAAAAGTGTTAAGCGAAGAGGGATTTAATAAAAAAAGATACCAGCCCTTTAAATACCCTGCAAGTCATTTCAGTCAAGTGGGAAGAGCTTGCAACAATGGGGTGAGGGCACAAAAACTATTGTATGCCCCATAGTCTATACCTCTGTAGCCAGAATTGGCAATAACTGGTCGCAACACAAATCCCTAATATTTGGAGTAGAGGGTCCCTGCTGTCCACACGGCTCTCACAGGCTCTGAGCAGGCTGTTCCGGGAACATGCGTCCAGCTGCCTGCCATGCACTTGGGGATTGACTGAAATTAACCACAGTTTACCTCTCCAAGTCCTACCCTGGATGTTATAACCCTTCAATAGACTCCAGAGTTCAAACGTAACACAAAAAATTTAGTCAGCGCAATCATTCTTTATGTGAGGAGAGAGATACCTGGGGTTTCTTACACCAGCAGCTTCTCAGAATCCTCCTAAGTTTTTGTTTTTAATATGAATGATGTATAGAGGAATTTTTTCCCATGGAAATTTATTCTGTCTACTAGATTTCTGTATATTAGTGCTTTGGAAACTGGAGAATGAATTAGATATCTAAGAATCTTTGCAAAAGAGAATATTAAATGGTACTCTGAGAAGAATAGCAACCAAAGAAATTTGCCAAGTTCTCCGTATCATAAAGTGAGATGCTAGACAATTCAATTTTACTGTCTCTTCTGCATAACTTGATGGGGACCAATAACTAGATCAAATGGTTAAACGTATCTTTTTGAATCATTGTGAAAGAACTAAAATGTGTGATTATAATAGGAATACAGAAGAGTAGAAGGGAAAAGAAAACCTATAGTTCCTTGCATCATAGAAAAGTGCCATAAATGATTAAAAGCCAAAGTATAATAATGCTGCTATTTTGATCAGTGGAACATTCATTCTTGGTTAGTCTTTTTTATTATGATCTTATTATAGTACATTTCCACATTATTTTCAACCATCATTATAACAATTATTGTTGCCTGTTGTAATAAATGACTTGATATAAACAAACAGTTCTTCTTGCGTCTCTCTGTTTTTATCCTTTTAGGTATTCTGTATGCATGATCCCCTTCATAATAAATAAAATAGAAAAAAATATCTTTGTGTGAAACACTTTTCCATCTAACTGACAGCTTTATAAATTGGGTAAGTACGGTCACCTCAATGATCTAAGTTTCCCTACCTGTAAAATGAGCTGAATTAATTAGACTGGTTTGTTATAGGGCAGCCCTGATACAAAACGGGGTGCCTGACTGTGGGTCCTCACCCATTTGCTTAAAAGGACTTATCAATGCTCTACTGCAGGCACATGCGAAAGGTTAATAAAAGGTTTATTTACAAGGGAAGGGCAAATGAGGAAATGTACAGCTCAGGGAGAAAAGTGGGAGACAAAGATTTAAATGCGTCCTACCCGATCCTCCGATCAGGAATCCCAAATGGCACTCTGAGAGCTGGCCGCAAGCCAGGAGCCGTGAAGCCAGGAGGCAAGGAGAGAGCGACCCCCAAGGCCCACGTGTTTGGTTTTTATACCACCCCTGGCTGCTTAACTCCTCCCTCAGGTCCCAGCCACCTTCCCTTTGGTGGTGACAGGCTTTGTCTTTCCCAATGTCTTGATGGCTTTGGTCTGGAGTGGGGGTGGGGTCCACAAAGCCTGTATGGGATTAGCTCAGAACGTCCTTTCCCCCTAACAGGTTCAAAGATCACTTTCATTTCTGAAATTCAATGATTCTAAGGCAGGCCTGGTCTACTATGTGACGCATCTCTATGACTCACTCTTGTTATCTGATTCTGGTATCTCACTCTTCTTATTAACTTACCTCTCTTTTCTTATTTACTTACCTTTCTTTTCTTGACCTTCATGTTATAGTTACTGACTGAGCCAATTGAGTCTCTGGGCACTATTTGAGACATCATGTCCCATTCCAGGCCCTCCTGAAATTTGTAAGCAATATATCCAGGCTGCCCAGGATATAATAATCCTCTCACAGACTTGGAAGTTGACTTGTTTTTCATAACCTGTGCCTGATGAAGATAAAAAAAAATGAAAGACTATGCTTAATGGCACATATGATCAGTATGCTAAACCTTTTATCTAAATCCTAACTTTGCTCTCCAAGTTCTTCTTGGCTTAGATGGAATTCTAGTTGGTAAACTCCAGGGCAATCACACATGTCTGAAATCCCAAAATAGCATTGGCTAATAGATGTTTGAATCTGCTTAGGAGGAGTTTCCAGCAGTCTTCTGAAAGCTATGGAAAGAGAATCAACAATAGTATCAATAGAGGAACCTGATGTTGATGTCTGAGATAAGTCACAGGGTGTTAGAGAAGTTTTAAATAGTTTGGGGAGGGAGAGAACAAGATCAGCATAGGCTATTTTGGACATTGCTCAGTAAGTTTCAAAATGGCAGTGTGATTGAAGGGTGGAAGTAGGAGCACCTGGACCATCTCTATGGAGAGATGAGGCTCAGTAAAGGAGTCACAGGCAGGGCTCCAGGGGAAGCACAGACCTTCATGAAGTGTAATGACCATGAGCAGAAACTATGAGTATGGGACAGACTGTCCAAAGAAACAGAGAAGGGTTGTGATTCATTTGAATAATGGATGATTTGGGTAGACACAAAACTCACTGAATTTGTATTTAACTGTAGGGGAACTCCCAAGGGAAAATTTGGAAATGAATGTTAGGAAAATAAATATCTGGAACCCAAATCAAAATGAAATGGAAATGAGGATACAAATACCGTATTTGGACAAGGAACTAAGAACACGTAACTTATGCACGAGATCATAGTCACATTTTTTTAATAAGACCACTAAAGGAAATACAATAATAATGCATATTTATATGGCACTTAATGTGTGCTAGGTACTGTTATAAGCATTTTTGATTTATTTTATTTAGTCCTCATAACTGATGTCATGTAAAGAGAAGGGTTACATGTTGGACAGATTGTACATTTGTGAGTTAAAGTTAACTTAAGTGATGACTTGAGGTATAAGGGGAAAAGTAGGTCAGAGATCAAAATCCATGGAAAAAGTCACAGGGATGCTGGTAAAGGAATAAAATTAAGAAAGGCACAAAATATATTTAACTTGCTGAGTGATTACTTATTCATATATTCATTTAACTTTTATTGAAATTTGTTATAGGGTATGCCAATTTTCAGCTTTAACAATAATGTCCAAACAATAACAGCGCTTGAACTTATTCTTTTTTTTTAAAAAAAAAAGATTTATTTATTTATTTATACAAGCACTGGGTACAGGCCAGATGTGCAGGAGGGTGAGAGAATTCACCAGAGCCAGAGCGGGGAGCAGAACAGGAAGACTGACGAAATACACTGCTGAGTGGAGCAGCGGGCGCGGCAGGAGAGGTCTGCGCGTTGTGTGGGACCCTCACCGGCAGCCGGGGAGCGAACCAGCGCTGCAGAGGCTGCAGGCAGCCTCTCAGCCCAGTGCTCAACCGCTGGGCCACCAGGAGAGGCCCCGCTTGAACTTATTCTTCCACCAGCAATGCACACAAGATCCTAATGATCCTCATCATTCTGACACTTGATCTAGATAGACTTTAAAATTTTTGAAATTTCACATAATTTTATACCTAATGATATCCTGTGTCTTCATTTTTATTTCTCTCATCATTCTTGTAGAAGTATACTAGTAGGCATATACAAGAATATTTATAGCACTTCTATTCATAATAGCAAAAATGCTGGAGACAACTGAAATAATTGAATGTTCATTGACAGAAGAAAGGATAAATATTTGGGTAGTCACAAAATGCAATATGTATATGGCATAATGGTATATGGCATAGGTGGTGGGGCACCTTAACCCCTGGTGGCACAAGGGGTTAAGCACTGCACTGTAATGCAATCCGCAGCCTCTGCAGGACGAGTTCAATCCCCGGGCAGTCAGGGAGATACCCATATGGTACAGCAGACCTCTCCTGACTCGCCCATTGTTCCCCTCAGCAGAGTACTTTGGTCAATCTGCCTGTTCAGTTCCCAACTCTATCTCTGGTGAATCCTCCCCCGACATCTCTGGCCTGTACTCCAGCTCTTGTATGCATAAACAAATAAATCTTTAAAAAAAAGTATATGGCATAAAAAAATGAAATAATTACTGCTATGGGTAGGTATATAGAGGTGTTAGATTGAGTGAAAAAAAGCATATTCTAGCAGAATTTATACAGTATGGTATACTTTTATAAAACTCAAAAGTTATGGCCTACATATATGAGAGATATATATATACCTAATATGTATGTATGTATAATATGTATATATATCATAAATATAATAAAACTTATTTTTTAAAGCAAGGAAATAAGCAAGATTTTTAAGCAAGAAGATTTAGGATGGTGGGGAAGAAGGAGGTTAGAATAAGGGAATAACATACAAAAATGAAATTATTGACAATATTATTTTTCTTGGTTGGGTAGGGTGGGTTCATTGATATTTATTATTAAAAAATAAAATTCAAGTGCAATAAATAAAATGAAAGCGGACATGCATGGATGATGATTCATACCATTTCATAAACCAAAGGTTATAAATTCTTAAATTCTGCGTGTCTGATTCAAGAAAACAGAAGAAAAGATTTATTGAGCTACTAGCCAGAGCTGGGCTTATGTTCTAGATTTATTCTGCTATAACAAGCAACTTTAATGTCTCCATGAGCTACAGATACAAACGTTTATTTCTTGCTCAAATTCCATGTCAGCTATGGTTTAACAGAGAATCTTTGCCAAGGTTGATAGAACAACCAATGTCCTCAGTGTTAATGTTTACTATGTGTGGTTGATCTCTACCATTCAATAAATTCTTAGCTTTTCCTCCTCTGATTCTTAGGCATGGATTTAGTGAATAGAAGGGAAAGAGATGAGAAGGGGCAGGTATAAGGAATACCAAATACGGATACAATGCCTTATAAGACTTTAGTGTCAAAGATTTAGGTTGAACTGTTACTAAATTTTTTTTAAAGATTTATTTTATTTATTTATGCATAGAAGAACTGGGCTGTAGGCCAGAGGTGTGGGGGGTGAGAGGATTTACCAGAGACAGAGTGGGGAACAGAACAGGCAGACTGACTGAAATACACTGCTGAGGGGAGCAGCGGGCAAGACAGGAGAGGTCTGTTGCGCCATGTGGGTTAGCTCCCTGGCTGGGGATCAAATTCATGACCCAGTGGCTAGAGATGGCTTGATAGCACTGAGACTTTAACCCCTGCACCACTGGGAAGGCTCTGTTACTAATTTTTAAAGAGATGATTAATTTTCTATCAAACTTATTTTCATTTTCTAGTGGAGTCTGTGGGAAAATAGCTTAAGACCATGCAGCGGTTGTAGCTACTCATTTAGTGGAATGAGCACTGGGAGGTGAAACCAGTGTTCAGGGATGGGCTGGCTGTTCAGTGCTCAGCAGGGAACTGCTGACTAGGCACAGAGGACCCCTTTGTGTCTTCAGACCGTCATGTGATCTCAAGTTGGGTAGCAGTAAACTCAGAAGCGAGAGTAGTCCTTTCACCCCTCAGTCTCTCCTCATTCACTGCCTTTTCAGCAGTGGCCTGCTTGTCCTTTTTACTCTCTTCATGATCTCTGTAGAAGTATAGATCATGGCTTCTCATGGGTGTTCACAGGAGATGGTGCGATATGTGTGCGGGACTTCCCAGGCCAACATCCATTGCCACTGATTGAGCTCAGGAACACAATGCCTGCATAGAGAAGAGGCTATGTTGGCAGGTTAACCTAAGACACCTCTCTGAGAGGCTGGTGGTTAACCCTAATTTGGTGCTTACTGGAAGTTTCAGCTCCCAGAATGCTTCTTGGATATGGTGGGTGAAGGTCACAAGAACAGTGTCCAGCTCTAAGAGTGACTTCAATAACAGCAATAAACCAGCTCAGCTTGCTAGCTGGTATTCCTGGATAATATGACACTGATACCCGCTGGTTTTCAATAGTAATAATGGCACAAGTTGCCAGCAGAAGCTCTGCCCAGGCTCTCTTCAGATCTATGATGCAGATGCCATAATTTTCCCTTTTATAGATGTATTATTCTATTTGGAAGTCAAGATTGGTGATACCAGTCAAGTAGGGTTCTGACATCAAGTGGGAATTTGAGGACAGCCCTCTCTTTTATTTGCAGAACAGCTAAGACTCTAGACATTGTGAAGTTTCCTTTCAAGTTATTATAGGAATCCAGGACAATGGAGTCCTCTCTGGGTAGCATAGAAAAAGTCCAACAATATTTTATTCCTCTATGCACACACAGACTCTCCTATGAGTTGACTCCAAAGTTTCCATAGTCCGTCCAGAAATTCTAGCTCTGGTCATATTCAGTAAAATGACTCTTAGATGGTAGTGCACATTAAATTGCAGTAAAAAAAAAAAAAAAAAAAAAAAAAAAGATCCATAGTGATTTTACATGAGAACGGAGCTCGCTTAGATGTCTCTACTAAACTTTTCCTTAGTAGTCCCTTCGAATCAATTAGAAACTGGCCAAAACCAGGATGCACTTCAGCTTCACATGGTTTCAAGCCAATTTAGAGTTCTCTCAATAGTGTTAGAGGATTTTCACCCATTTTTCATTAATCAGATGTATATCAGATGTATTTTCTATAAATGTGCATAATTTTTTTTTTTTTTAACTCAGTGGGACTCGCTTTCACTACTCCCCTAGTTGATCCATTTACATAGTTTCCAGGGTCAGTTTCTGGTTAATTGATGATGACAATTACTGTTTAATTATTCATTCGACTAATATTCTCACTAAACTCTTCTAGAAAATATATTTAAAAAACACAGAAATTATGATAGCATGACAATTAGTATGTACTCCCTAGACATTGGTGTGATTTTTAAAGGTTAATTATTATTAAAGTACAATTTTGGGATTATTCTTCTATTATTAATTCTGCCACTGTTACATTGGATTTTACATTTCCTTACTCTGACATTGTAACTGTTTGTCTTCAAGGGGCACAAATAAGAGAAATGGGCCTCTTTGGTGGCTCAAGGGGTTAAGCACCACACCATGAAGCAATCTGCAGCCTCTGCTGCACGAGTTCAATGGCTGGCCAGGGAGCAACACACATGGCAAAGCAGACCTCTCCTGTCTCTCCCGATGCTCCTCTCAGCAGTGTATTTCAGTCTGTCTGCCTGTTCTGCTCCCCACTTTGTCTCTGGTGAATCCTCTCACTCCCCACCCTGGTATCTCTGGCCTGTACCCCAGCTCTTGTATACATAAGTAAATAAATCTTTAAAAAAAAAAATTACACACAAAACTTAGTCTGAAGTTGGGAAAACTGGATAGGGAAAGGAAAATTTTCCTTAAGTGTTTGTTGAAAATTGACATTTCCTTTCCCATTCTTTTTCCTCATGAAGTGCCCATGGTAGATGGGCAATGGTAGATGGAGATGTCTGCAAAAAATCTTTGCAGAAGTTTGGGGGAGCAATTCTTCTGACTATCGTAACCTCTCTCCCCCTTTTGAAATATCACTGTTTCATCCTCTACGTTAATGAACCTAAGATCCCATGTCCTTCCTAAACAGATCTTCAACCTGTAGACGAAGGTTGCAAAATGTCTACTACCTTCCCTTTCCTACTCCAAAAGCTGCTATGTCAGGGAAAAGATCCTGAGATCTTTGCTTTGTCCAACATTCTCCCTCTGACGTAATTTGCAAACCCCTACAGCTCTCTTCTGCAACTTTCCCATGTGAGGTTATTTATCTTCCTTAACAGACAACTCAATTTATCTGGGGAGACTGTTCCTCCAAGCTCTGTTGATAATCTCTTCCAGTGCTGAATACTATTGTAATCTTAAAGTTCCTAAAATAGTTTACATTTCCCGTGCAGCTGCTATCACCTCTCACTCTGCTTTAAAACCTTCCATGTCTTCCCATTGCTTTTGAGCTAAAGTCTAAGGCCCTTAACATGGCCTTGTAGGGCTTGCATGATCCAGCTCCTGTCTGCCTCTCCAGCTTCGTTTTGGACCCCTGCATTATTCCTGCTTGAGTGCATTCATGTTGAAATCTCCAATTCATTTCTCATACTGGAACTGTTATAGAGCAACCCTGATATTAAACGGGTTCCTGGCTGTGGGTCCTCACCCGCGTGCTTTAAAGGGACTTATGAATACTCTACTACAGACACACACAAAAGGGTTAATAAAAGGTTTATTTACAAGAGAAAAGGAAATAAGGAAAATGTACAACTCAGGGAGAAAATAGGGAAATAAAGTCTTTAATGCGTCCTACCCGATCCGACGACCTGGAAACCCAAAGTCACTCTCAGAGCTGGCCGGACTCTGCGAGCTGGCCGAAAGCCAAAAATGGGGATCCCCAAAGCCCACATGTCTGCCTTTTATATCCACCTGGCTGCTTAACCCCAACCTCAGGTCCCAGCCACCTTCCCTTTGGTGGTGATGGGATTTGGAGTTCCCAGTGTCTTTGGCTTTGACCTGGGGTGGGGGTGGAGTCCACAAAGCCTGCATGGAATTAGCTTTGGGACATCCTTTTCCCCCTAACAGAACTACCTCTTCTTCTAACACTAAGTAATTCCAGTTCTTATTTGGTTTCTTCTTAACTCCCAATTCTTTAAGGAAGATTTTCCTAACACCCTGGACATGGTCAGACACCCCATTATATATCAATGATAGCAGTAATTTTGAATTTATTATTTATGCATTATTTGTACAATGTCTAGCTTCCTCTCTATGCTGTAAGTTCCATGTCCTATTTATTGCTATATCTTGTGCTTCCTGCACATTTCCTGGCAAATAATAGGTAATTACTATTTATTATTTATTTATGTATATGTTAACTATTATTAGCTATTTATTGAATGAATGAAAGAATATACAGATGAATGAATTTCTGCTTAAAGTCTCCATGGTTAGAATTGAAGGATGATAATTGCTTTTCTCATTTATGATCTACAACCTTAATGTTACCATAGTTTTTTTTTTTTTTTTAAAAAAAAAACCTTTCAGGGCCTCCCCCGTGGTACAGCAGGTTGAGTGCAGCACTGTGAAGCTGTCTGCAGCCTTTGCAGCACCTGTTGGATTCTCTGGCCAGGGAGAGTCCCACATGGCAAGGCAGACCTCTCCTGTCTCGCCCGCTGTTCCCTTCAGCAGTGTACTTTGGTCCTTCTGCCTGTTCTGCTCCCTGCTCTGTCTCTGGTGAATTCTCTCACCCTCTTGATCCTCTGGCCTGTACCCCAGTGCTTGTATAAATAAATAAGTCTTAAAAAAAAATTAAAAAATCCTTTTGTTCTAAGATAGTCATAGATCCACATGTGGTTATAAGAAGTTGTATAAACATGTGTATATAAATGTGCACATATGTACACCTTGCCAAGTTTCCTCCAATAATGACATCTTGTGTAATTATAGTAAAATACTACTAGCAGAAAATTGACATTGATATAATCCAGTAATCTTCTTCAGATGTTGCCACTTGTATATATATTCACTGTGTGTAAAGTATGCCATATGTGTGTATGTATATGTACATGTAAGAACTACCATATACCACAATTAATTACAGTGACAGTTCTATCAGAAGAGTTCCTCATGTTACCCTCTTACAGTCATCAGTCACTCCTTTCCTACTCTCCCCCAATCTCTGACAACTAATAGTCTGATCTCATCTATAATTTTGACATTTAAATAATGTTATATAAATGGAATCATACAGTGTATAAAATTTTGAAATAGTCTTTTTTCACACAGTCTGATTTCCTTGAGATTCATCCAAGTTGTGGCATGTATCAACAATTTCCACCTTTTTATTGCTGTGTAGTATTCCATGCAAAGGCTGCATTAGTTTGTTTAGTAATTGATATGTTGTAGGACATTAGGGATGTTTCCACTTTTTGGTCATTACAAATAAATGTGCTGTTAACATTCATGTATAATTTTGTCAAATATAAGTTTTCATTTCTCTGAGATAAATATCTAAGAGTATATTGTAAGCAAGTTTCAATTTTGTAAGAAACTGCCAAACTGTTTTTAGAATGGCTCACCTTTTTATATTCCTACTGGCAATACATATGTTATTTAGTTTCTCTACATCTTCACTAGCATTTGGTGTTGTCATAATTTATTTATTTTTTAACTTTAGTCATCCTGATATCTTATTGTGGCTTTAGTCTGCAGTTCTACAGTGGTTAAAGATGTTGAATATCTTTCCATCTGCTTATTTTCCAATTCTATATCTTCTTCAATGAAATATCTTTTTATCTTTCACATTTTTCTAATTATTTACTGTTGAGGTTTGAATCTTCTTTGTACATTCTAGCAACCTCCTTCTTTCTCTTAAAATTATTTTTTAAACTAGTTTCATGCTTATAACACAATTGAGAAGGTACAGAGATTTTCCATATATCCCATTAACACACATGCAGTTCTCCCTATTATCAACACCCCTTATCGAGTAGTATATTTGTTATAACTGATGATGTATTGACACATTGTAGTGACCTAAAGTCCATAGTTTAGCATAGTTCACATTGGTGTTGTACATTTTGTGGATTTGGATAAATGACATATAGCCATCATTTATAGTATTATATAGAATATTTCCACCACCTTAAAAATCTGTACTCCATTGATTCATATCCTCTACACACCCTCCCCTCCAAAAAATATTTCTGGTAACCACTGGTCTTTTTAGTGACTACAGAGTTCTGTCTTTTCCAAAATGTTACATAGTTGGAATTACACAGCATGGTTTCTTTTACTTAGTAATATGCATTTAAGTTTCCTTCTTATCTTTTTTTTTTTTTTTTTTTTTTTTTTGGTGGGACCCTCGCCGGTGGCTGGGGATCCAACTGGCGCTGCAGAGGCTGTGGGCAGCCTCGCAACCCAGCGCTCAACGGCTGTGCCACCAGGGGAGGCCCTCCTTCTCTTTTTATGGTTTGATAACTCCTTTCTTTAATAGCCCATTGTCTGGATTAACTACAGTTTATTTATTCATTTACCTACTGGAGGGCATCTTGGTAGTCTCCAAGCTTTGGCAGTGATGAATAAAGTCAGTATACCCATCCATGTGTAGAATGTTGTGTGAATGTAAGTTTTAATTCCTTTGGGTAAATTACCAAGGCGTGCACTTGGTGGATTATTGCTTAACTGTATGGTGGGATTATGGTATGGTGTTTAGTTTTGGAAGAAACTGCCAAACTGTCTTCCAAAGTGACTGTCCCATTTTGTATTTTTACTTGCAATGAATGAGAGTCCCTATTATTCCAAATATTTCAAACCAGCATTTAGTGTTGCCTGTGTTTTGAATTTATACCATTCAAATAGATGCGTAGTGGTATTCTACTGTTGTTTTAATTTGTATTTCACTGATGAAATACATTATAGAATATCTTTACGTGTGGTTTTTATTATTTTCTTTGCCATCTGTATATCTTGTTTGGTAAGGTGACTGTTAAGATCTTTGCCTATGTTTTAAATAATTTTTTTGGTTTTCTTATAGTTTAAGTGTTTTTTGTATATTTTGAATAATATTTTTTTTTCCAGATATGTCTCTTACAGGCATTTTTTTGGTCTGTGATTTTTCACTCATTCTCTTGACATTGTCTTCCACAGAGCAGAATTTTTTAATTTTAATGAAGTCAAGTTCATTAGTTATTTCTTTCATGAATAACTCAAAGTCCTGTAGATTTTTTTGTTTTGTATTTTTCTGAACTGAACAGTCCTTTTCTGGGCACATGGCTTTCTAGAATGACCTGTACAAAGTTGATCTTCTACAGCTTCTTAGCCTGTACTTGTCCCTTCTACTTAGAATGAAGAGTATCTGTAGTAGATGCTGTCATGTGTCACCAGATTCCTCGTTATCACTGAAGGCCTCTATTCCTCCAGTTGCAGGGACTATTATCAACAGAGCCTTCAGCTGTCATTTCTTTCCAGCCTATGCCCAATGACCAGTTAATAGAGCAATATAAATGCCTTACTCCTCACCCCAACTCTGCACAACTCTATAGATTATCCCAAATTCAAACTGCCTGAGGAGTCAAACTGAAGCTTTATCTAGACTACCTTATAATATAGCTCCCTGCTCTACACAGTCCTGTTTTCTCCCCATTTCTTCTGTAGGTATTAATCTTGAAGGTAATCTGTAATACATTTCTGGCATGAGGGTGTCTGTCTAAAAGTCCGCTTCCTGGGAACCTAGCCCATGGCAATTAATGACAGGAAAGGTTTGAGAAATCAGATGTTAAGATGGGATTTTGGAGTGGATCACTTGCTGATCACTTGGAATGGAGCCCTCCTCAACCCACCAGAGAGCCTCTGGTACAAGCTAGTGCTCTTGGTAACACCTACACTACAGTTGAACTGGAAAGGTATTCTGTGGAAGAGAATGTTCTAGCAGGTGCCACATATTAGGTATTTGAGAGATATTGGGAAAGTAACACTAAGAACTGTGAAATTGGGTGGCAGTTGCTAAGCACAATAGATAGTTTAGGAGCTATATAATGAAAGACTGTGGGGATTAATTGGCAATTAAGAGCCAAGTGTGAGCACCAGAGGTTGTCTTTTGTACATTATAAAGAGGTTTTCATCTCCGGCAGCCTGAAGGCTGAGAAGCTGAGGGCCAGGGTTTAATGATAAGGACAGCAGAACTCCAAGAAAGCTAAGATATCAACTTGGCAGATTTTTAGTGCCAAGATTCTCACCTTAGTTGGGAAATAATGGGGCCCTGACATCATGAGATGGGACATCTACATTATTGCATCCAAAACACTTGAATTCCAAGATTTCCCAGTTTACTCTGAGTTTCTAAGGAGCCCACCCTTCTTCTTATACACCATTGTTCTACCAATTTTGAAGATTATGTAGAGTCCTTTACTTTATGGGATACTATGGGTCTCTCTCAGAATATGTCCCTCCTCATTTGTTCACCAGATCAATAATTAGGGTGAAATGATAGCCTGGTTTGACTGAGGACTAAGCTGGGTCATACAGGGAGGAAAAGTTTCAGGTACCCCAAAACTATAGGGCCTAGCTAGCACAGGACTGCAAGAACCAAGAGACTATAATTGGGACTAGATTTGTGGGTCCTGCAACAAGGATAGAACAACATAACGTTGGATGATGGAGATTTATTATTTGGGGAGATTTCTCCTGGAACACACAATTTAACACCCTTGCAAGGACACTTAGAGATAGTATACTGGTGCTAGAAGATGACTCCCACAAAGTTGGAAAAGCACAGAATAAATGAAGTAGAAATGCATTTGCCATAGCTATGCAAGAAGGGTTTAAAA